CGTAGTGGAGGGCTCCGGAAATTTCGACCACCTGGAATGCTTTAACGTGTACCAAAATTTCAGCACACGCGCCTACAGCATTTCCGCCTCTATCGGGAATGCAGCCGCCGCAGCCGGGATTCGATCCCACGACCTGTGAGTCAGCAGCCAAGTACCTTAGCCACAAACCACCGCGGCGGGGTGCAGGCGTATCTTATTTAGGCGCATTTATAAAGAAATTCACCACGATTTACTTCTTTCTTTGACAAAGCCTGGTCCACCAGACGAATTATGAGCCGCCCAACCAACGGAAGTCTTTATCGCTTAACATTATTCTGCAAATTTTACTCTCCAACCTACCATCCTATAGAAAGAGCAACGCCATGTGTTGAAGGTACTTTGCAAATATACCGTATGCAAGTGTTGCGTTAGTGAAACATCAATAATGGTTGCAGTTATCGATATGTAATTTTTATTAACATACGTACTACTATTACGCAGGCGTCATGTCGGGTTCAAGTGTACTGTAGTTAAGCACCATGCAATCAAGTTGGTCAATATAGCACAATTAGGGGCTACCATTCCCGGAAGTGTAGGTGCTACATATTGAGTTACCACTCCTGGCGTTAGTAATACCTATATTGCTGTTGGCGTCGTTATACGCAACCGCAAATCGGTTATATGAAACATATGTGACTTTCCAACGAATGCCGGTGTGTACACCGTATGTGCTGTCAGCATGAAACGAAACCCAAACAGCGGCAAACTTTCGCGATGGTTATAGTGCGCATCGTCCAGTTATCCTGATTGACAGGCGGCGAATCCTTTTCGACAACTCGGGACAAATATGCGTGTCTGTTCTGGATGACAAGTGAATGGCATGCACTCTACCATAACGACGGCTCGCCGCTGTTTGGGTTTCTATTCACGCGATGGTACATATGTTCAGTTTCACTTCGTGGCGACTCACTCATTGAAAAAGTTATCCCACAGTCACCTCCCCACATGCTTCAAATAACATCGATATCCGTAATACGTAGCAATCCCCCCCCCCCCCCCCCCCCCCCGCCTCTATCTTTTTTTTGTCGACAAGTGGATGTTCTGCTTTGAAGGAATGAGAGCAAGGCCAGGAAGATGGGAAATGCCTGCGTGCATCTACGGCTCGACCAAGGATTGGCATTGCTTTGAATAAGTGCGTATCGAGCAAAAGTGTTTGTTGTGCGCTTGTTGATGTTATCTTAGCGCGGAATTGAGCGAGCACTGTGTGCAGATAATGTTATCAGCTACAGCTACCACAACAGTTAAATCATGGTCATGCGTGGAAGTCGTCGCCATAAAAATGCGGCACCAGGCATCTACGCGGATGCACCAGCATAAAATGGCGCTATAGGTGCTAAACACTGATAGACGTCCTACAAGCTCTCCCAGCTATCACTATACACTCAAGAAACACCGTGCACTTCTGTAAAGTCTGGTTTTATTAGGGGCGAAGCTCCTTATGGCGTGGCTTGGGCGTCCCTTGTATGTAACCACCAGTGGCACATACCCGAAATAGGTATAACACTTGACCTCCAAGGTGGTGCCAGTGAGAGATTTCTTGTGTGCGTTGTTTAACAATCAAAAATAGAGCTCAATGTACATGCCAATGGCTGCTAATGGGGAATGAGAGACATGAGCATTCGGCTTTTAGTCAACGCGCACGCTGCGATCCCCATTAGCAGCCATTGGCATGTACATTGAGCACTATTGGACAAGAAAGGGATGCTACATTATACTCACTGGGTGTAACCTCCTTAGCTTTAGAAAGGTTTAGCGAGCGTTGAGCCGCAGTGCCATGAATACAATGAACTTGCATATACCATGAATGAACTAAAGGTGGTTAAAAATGAGAAGTAGATACGAAGCGCAAGCCGTAAGAAAGTAAAAGCCGAATTCTCCTGTCTCTCATTTCTCATTAGCAGCCATTGGCATGTAAATTGAGCCCTATCTGACAGGGAAAGGTTGCTACGTTATACTCGCTGGGCGTAACCTCCTTGGTTTTCGAAAGGTTTAGCGAGCGTTTGGTCGCAGTGCCATGAATACAGTGAACTAGAATATACCATGAACTCGAGGTGGTTAAAGGTGGGAAGTGGATCCAAAGCGCAGTCCGTAAGAAAGTGTGCGTGTGCCACCTCTCGTTTAGTCCTTGGAATGTCCGCTGGATGGCGGTGCTTCTATATGGGGAATATATGATAAAAAGATGCGAGATGGCGGGACTTGGAGTGTTGAATAGATGAACGAACGGACACACAAACAGATGCATGGATGGACGCATGAACGGACGCAGGGGCGGATGCACGAAAGAACGCAGGGACGGGCGCACAAACAGACGCATGGACGGTCACACAGATGGACGCATGGACGGACGAATGCTTCGCCCCACTCTCCATCATTCACTCCGTGGATATGCTGCCATTTTTTATCGTATTATACTGACTATTATGATGAAAACATTTACGACGTTTTTTGACTGTTTTTTGATTGTGTAGCACCTTTCGAGGCTCTGCTTATACCATCCGTCTATGCGTATCACGTGACGTGGTCCAAGTGACATTTATAGGTGTCAATAGATTAAGTCGTCCACAGAGGGCTAAAATAAGAATAGAAATAATGAAAACTTGCTTATAATGATCTCGCTCTGCTTGGACAACCATGTTTTCTGTATCATCGCGATACATTCGATACACCGTAATTGTATTTGAGTAATGAGATATACATAAATTTTTTTAATGCATTTTGATACAGAAATACAGATACTCAGAGTATCTGTAATGTACTATTGCGTGTAACGTGATACTGCCTATCCCTATTCTCTATGATGCCATGCAGAACCTACTTTCTAACTAGTCGTACGTAGGAAAACTATAAGTTTGCGTAATTTAATGCTCTCACAAGTTTCGGTGACGGCGGGATGGGTCTTCTACTGTGTCCTTTCACACGCTTAGAAGCTCCGAGGAAGTCGACTGGGCATGTTGACTGAAATACGGAAGCTACGCTATGCGGAGAGTATACCTGACTGTAGGCCCCGCCACGGTGGTCTAGTGGCTAAGGTACTCGGCTGTTGACCCGCATGTAGCGGGATCAAATCCCGGCTGCGGTGGCTGCTTCACCGATGGAGGCGGAAATGCTGTAAGCCTGTGTGGTCAGATTTGGGTGCACAATAAAGAACCCCAGGTGGTCGAAATTTCCGGAGCCCTCCACTACGGCGTCTCTCATAATCATATGGTTGTTTTTGGTCGTTAAACCCCACATATAAATCAATCAAACCTGACAGTTGTTCTTTCAGCCACTTTCATGAACTAAAACCACCATAGCTGTAAAAAAATTGAAAAATTCATTGAGCTCCGTAGCAAGCTCCATAGATGAAAGCTGGTTGCATGATCTGATGAATGAAATGTGTTGAATAAATTGAAATTTAGGGAGAATAAAGTGGGAATGACATGGCATGAAGTGGGAGCCATAAGTAGGAGGAGTGGTAGAAGGGAATGCTGTGGTCAGGGTGTACGGGAGTAGTGAGTAGTTGGAGAGGAGGAAGGAGTGCGACATATCCATAGTGGCATTTACCTACAGGAGGTGGGTAAGTCTCACTATACTATCTACGATCTACAGCGTTCCCAGACATGAAAGGCTTCACTAACAATAGCTTTGTGGGTGAAAAATATGTAATTTCACGGTGCTTACTTTATTAGCGCTCATGAAACAAAAGGCCTTGTTTAAGGCACAATGCGTAACGCTTTCTTTCTTTCTTTCTTTCTCTCTTTCTCTCTTTCTTTCTTTGTTTCTTTTTTCTTCGGTCTTTATTTTCCTTCTATTGGTCTTTCTTGCTTTCTTTTTTCTCCATCTCTTTGTTTCCCTCTTTCTTTGTTCCGTTTTTCTTAAGTCTTTATTCTTTCTTTCCTCCTTTCTTTCCATCTTTCTTTTAATCTTGCTTCTTTTCTTTCTTATTTCTTCCTTTTCCTATTTCTTCTTATTTTTCTTCGGTCTTTCTTTCTTGTTTATTCGTAATAAAAATGACACTCCCATGCAAGACGATTGCCGACTGATGGTGTCAGACAGGGAATATTTTCTTTCTCTTCGTATGTCGGCAAAATTACACAGATCACTAAAACACTCAATCACACCTTGGATGGTTATGCCCGATGATAAAGATCTTTCGCGATATCTACTCAAAGATATCTACTCAAAGCGCAGGCAAAATTATTCTTTTCACTTTGGTTGTAGAAAGCAGCACAGTTACTGACTTGAAACTGAATGTGTCTCAAGGAAAGTGATAATACAAAGTAGATCTCACAGAAATTAAAAGAGGAGGCAATAATTACTCCGGCGGTTCAGTTCGACTAACGCAGATTGTATTCATTCTTAGCCACTATTAGACACAAACAGCAAAGCAAGCAGGGCACACAAACGTACAAAACGCCAAAAGAAAGGCGAATTATGCATTTGATATGATGTTTCCCACGATATATCAAGATTGGAAAACACTTTACAAGGACAACACGAGGATGGAATGAAACTCTTTTCGATAGTGTATTTGGAGCCGCATCACATGACGTGGCTGTTTTAATAACAATGCTCTGAGACGAATGTCAGTATCAATAGAAAATGGAAACATTTTCGATGTTTTTAGCGTTTCTATGACAATCACTTACGCGGAATTACCCGGAATTCACTCGAGAAGCCTTGTCATTCCTGTCAGTACAAAGAGGGCAAGAGCAATCACCTAAGCACAATGTGAGCAATCTTTTGAACAATGTTTGGCCTTTTTGCTAGACCCATAACATATAAAAAAAAGAATTTGACCACAGAATGCAGTAAATTGATGAACTGCATTCGTGAAATGTGCAGAATAGCTTTTTTTTTGTCGTCAAGCGTGTTTCTCACGTAGCTTCGGCTTGAGCTCACAGTGGACACGTGCTATTCTCCAAGGATTTTGTACTTAAGCAGCGTGGGTGCGCCCAGCTTCTCCACAAGCTTTGCAGAGGTCAACGCCAAAATCATGGCTCGTCTCTTCAGCGCGTGTCTGTTCGCAATGTCTGTGGCCTGCGCGGCTTCTTACCAGCAGAACGTGCTGCGAGGACCGGGGGCAGGTTCTGGCTTCGGTAAGATTAATGTGAACTTTGTGCAGGGCAGGGACATGGGATATAGAACTGAAGCATTTCATGGTTTCGATTACGGGTATGTCATATTTCAGCAAGATTTGCTACCACACTTCACCGAGTTTTTAATGCCTATATTTTGCCAAGTTATACGAGGCCTGTTTCGCTCAAAGACAAGGGCAAATACTTATACTGTGTTTTTCTAGCATACCCACAATTTCCAAAGCTATAAGGGGAGAAGACCTAGGCGTTATAATTTTGGCCTTTTTACACCGCATCGAAAACATTCAAAAGTAATTTCAGTTTTTTCGCACTATATTGTTGAGAGCGAAGAAAAGTATTGTGTTGGTACACACAAGAAATATTTATTGAAAACGCACTGAATTTATTCGAGAGCTAGTTGCAGTCCCTTATTGAAAGAGATAATAAAGCTAAACAACATTGCACGCAGATTAGTGAAGTATAACTTCACTATTCCAAAAAAAAAACACTACTCTAATCGCGACAGTACGCTTAGTAAGCGAAGAAAAGCGCGGAAAGAAAATGCGGTTGGCTACGCCATCTAGAGATGCCTGCACTAAACACCGTGAAGTGAGAAATTTTTAAGGCATCTACTGGGTCTTGCGTAGCTTCCATTTAACAAAAAAGATGTGTACTGTAATCTGTGAGAAAATGTCATAAAAATAGCGAAAATTTATTTTGAAATTTTCTACGTCACGCGTTGTGATATGGGCGCAAAAATTGAAAATAAGACTTCAACGTTAATTTTATCCGCTAATAATAAACTAGTGATGGTAAAAAATATGGCACTAGAATATTCAGAGGTCCGTTTGTCTATCTGAACGAAGTTACTGTTCTTACTTAGTGTCCCTTTAAAGTCATTCTATACGTATGTTACGCGAAATATTCACTACTTTAATCATCTCATAAGTCTTCGATTCATCATATTTGGCAGCAGTGGGACGATATTCTGCACCATCCTCAAAATGCAGGTAATAGTTGAATGATTATCTTCTTCAATGTGCTTACCGAAGTAGATATTTAAAAATATTGGTTCCTAGAAGAGTAAAATTAACTACGAAAACTATTTGGTTTATGGATGCATGCAGTTAACTGAAGTTGGGATGGTTGCGTTTCGTGCAGAGAAACGGAATTGCGACTCGGCATATACAATAAAAAGTTTATAAAAATTTTTTTCACCAATGCTCGTACTTAACTTTGCTGAATAAATGACACACCATGACTAAGTGTCAGGCTAACCGTAACTCTTGGTATAGAACATGAAGCTTAGTATGAAAATATTGCGTGAGCAATTGGCAACAGAATTATCCCCTGCGTTGGTATTAGGACGAAATTATTGCGCATGTTATGGAATTTAGAGGTTAGTGCCGCCGCTAATTTCCTTTTGTATGGGTTTCGCTAGCGTCGAAAAGTTTTAGGTTGCTCACTGGCTTAGATTGTCTACATAAAAAAAAAGTCATTAATGGCTTGTTTATGGTTGCGCAGAAAGGGTCAAGCTCTCTTTAGTCGGCAATGAATAAATCAATATTGGTGATCTTTTTTATTCAGGGGGGAAATAATTCGTTAGAATATATATTTTAGACATCGCAAATAAAAGTATTGATTTCACATATGATTCTAGTTACATTAGGGTGTGCAACCTCAATTTAAGATTTGACGATTTGACAAGCAGTGTTTACGAAATTTATTCAGTACATAAAGTACCAGTTTGCAATGTTCTATATAAGCAGGTAATACCTATACAGTGTACGCGTCAGTTGCTCTAAGAGACTGTGCATACAGCAATACGCTAGCCGTGTTTGGTGCAAAGTTGTGAAATTCTATATTTTGCACCAGAACTTTTTTTTTCCAAATTCAATAGTCGTGAATTGCGTTAGCGAACAAGTTTTCACGCCTAATATCTACATGTTTCTTTGCACGGTCGCTGAAATTAACACTTCTGCAAAGTTCCTCACTCGTAAAGACAGTTGCACAATCTTGTATAATGTGTATTGTATGTAGGTCAAAGTGAGACAATAAAAAAGCATAATTTAAAATTTCCAAAGGGTTGACTTTTAAATGCGTTTCAGTTTTTTAAAAGCAAGCGCATTAGAACACTGAAGTCTCAGATGGCTGTGAGGCAGAACTGCCACTTACAGACAAATACCTACAGAAAGACCAAAGACTCCTGAGCCAAAACGTTTATAGTACATTTACGTGAATTAAAAGATGCCGTAGTAAAACTACATCTAGAAATACTGCCATTTGTGAGATTATCCTAAACGCTTAAACCTGCTGTGAAGAAAGTGAAGCGTAATAATGTGCACTCAGCTTTTACATTAAAAATAGACACAACTCAGCTAATCCTGGCATGTTATGACGCATGAAGTGTTTTCTATTGTCGTAAAACAACTTCCACTGCATAATGGAGGCAGTACGTTTTATTTATAGTTAGTGTGGGCACTTGCATAGATTTAACCTATGGGGATGACTCTTATTGCTATGAATATTTGCAAATTTTGGGTGATAGAATATTGAAGGTCCCGGGGTGGAATAGGTGACCGGTGTTATAGGCAATCGCAAGGAACTGTGGGATACGACGGCTTCCGGTTCGACGCACCACGCGGTTAAGCAGTGGCACACGTTTTTTTTTGTACCACTCCGTACAAAAAAAGAAAAGAAACTCTCCGTGCAATGTTAGTGTTTTAGAAGTTGGTTTCTTGTTTCGGCGAACCGTGACAGAGACGATGACTAGCTACTAAAGCCATGAGCGACAAGGAAACTTTTTTATCACCCCAAAATGATCTGCAACGCTTTTATGCTGCCCGGGGGTACTATCAGTTTGGCTAGGAGATCAGTCGATACAGAAGACAGTTTTCAATTAATGATACGTTACTACAGATAAAAAAAATCACTATTTAAAAGATCTCAGGGGATGGAGATGAATGTTACATTGTGTTAAGAGTTCATTCATTTCGGGATCGCTGCTTCGGCTGACATTGTCGGTCGAGCGGCATGAAGAGCAGCACTTATTGGACGCGTTGATATACTTTTTTTGTAGCTTTCAGCGTGCTATAAGATGCATTTCTTTGTCGAAGCCAGATGCTTATTTCAGCGTTGATCTTGGTCAAGCTGCACGGCACGGCGGCACATAAACAATACAGTCATTGATTGATATGTGGGGTTTAACGTCCCAAAACCACTATATGATTATGAGAGACGCCGTAGTGGAGGGTTCAGGAAATTTAGACCACCTGGGGTTCTTTAACGTGCACCCAAATCTGAGCACACGGGCCTACAACATTTCCGCCTCCATCGGAAATGCAGCCGCCGCAGCCGGGATTTGAACCCGCGCCCTGCGGGTCAGCAGCCGAGTACCTTAGCCACTAGACCACCGCGGCGGGGCAACAATACAGTCATAGACGGCACCAAATAATCGAATCCCCGTGCTTGTTTAACGCACCTATTCATTTGGGCGTCATTCTGGCACACAATTTGACCAAGATAAGCGCAAAAGTACTCGTCCCGCGCTTCGTGTAAAATAAATCTTCTGTGAAGCTTTCGCTTTTTTTGTCATATATATGAGTGAGATGGCCGGCGCACATCTCGTATGACAGGTAGAATTCGCAAGCGCGTTCCAATAACATCGTTTTTAGGCGCGCCTGCTCGACAATTCATTTCTCGTTATAATATTCGCAGCAAATTCACGCGTGAACTTTTTTTATTGCGGAATAGACACGTACCTGTGATAAAATGGTCTTCGCACAATCTGGCTTCGACTTTTGGTACCCAAAGGCTACCTGTCGCTGTGGCTCTCTTCAAAGGCGCGGCTTAACTCATTTTTCTTTCTTCGTTCCATGGGAATCAATACACGCCGACACACGTCGTTTGCCTTTCACGCTCGATTTGGAGCACCGAACTGCTGAACAGCCGACCATGATTTAGCAGGACGAAGATAAACAGGCAACCGCGCGCGCGTATCACGAATGATCTGAGGCTCACGGCGCATGGATACCCGTCGTCTACTCTCCTCGAACCAGAGACCGGCTGCAGACTGTGCATCCTACGAGCCCATGTTCTTTTAGTGGTCACCTGTTCCAGTCCTGGAGGCCACACTGATAAATATAATATGCTAGAGGCCCGTGTGCTTTCTTTAAGTCCACGTTAAAGAACCCCAGATGGTTGAAATTTTGAAGTCATCCGCTACGACATTTTTCATAATGATGTCGAAAGTTTGGGACGTAAAAGCCCAACAGAGATTATCATTAGGTGATGAATTATTTTCAAGTAAACGAAAAGCCGAGAAAATGTCACATATGATAAATGTGTTCCTTGAATAACTGGAATAAAACTGTTGAAACCAGATATATATATATATATATATATATATATATATATATATATATATATATATATATATATATATATATATATATATATATATATATATACGGCAGATCCAAGATATGCGAAGCACGAATGAGGAAGGTAGATAAGCCACTTTGAAATCAGCACAACGTTACGAGGCGGACGTGAATTATGCCGTACATAGCTTAGATGTCATAAATATGATGTTTGGACAGGTCATCTACCTTTGTCGTCTACTCACGTCACGCGATAACAAATTTGGTGTATTTGGAGCAAGCGAAGTGACCGCGAGCACATTATAAGCGTGGTATGTTTCATGTTCTTACATGACACGCATGTCAATATTATCATGTTTCGACGTGTCATTTACCTTCGTCATTCATTGACGTCACGTAACACACAGTTTGGTATATGCAAAACTAGAGAATCGACCGCGTGCGCATCATGAGCGCGGCATGTAGTCATGTTCTTACATGACACGCACGTCACGATTTATACGTTAAGGTCTGTCACTTGTGTTAGCCATGCAGTCACGTCACATCATACTAGCTTTGCAACATGTCATGTGAACGAAAGCACCGCAAGAGCAGCAAAACAGGAAAATGTAAATCATGACATTCATGACATACATGTCATAATTTTCATGTTATGAGTAGTCACTTATGCTCATTACATAGATATTTTATACCATACCAATTTTGGTATTGAGACAATTATCGACATGACCAGGAGAGCGAAAAGTCGTTGATAGATAGATAGATAGATAGATAAATAGATAGATAAATAGATCTGCTAAATGTGGCCCAAGTTCGCTAAGAAATGCTTCGCATTTAAAAAATAACAGTACTGAGTGTTGTATAAACATATTTGCAGGTAGTAGCAGCAGTTTTGGCAGTTTTGGCTCTAGAAGAGGAGCCGGTGGTCTTGGCTACGGTAGCGACACCTATGGTACCGGCTATGGCAGTGGCAATTTAGGCAGTGGTGGCTTCTACGGCAGTAGTGGCAGTAACCAAGGCTCTGGTGCTGGCTTCGACTCAAGTGGTTTCCGCCTAGGCCGTAGCGGCCAGGGATCCAGCGGGAGCTTTGGCCTCGGAAGTGGTTACGGCAGTGGATTTGGAGGTGGCTTTAGAGGTGGCCTCGGAGGGGGCTTTGGAGCTGGGCTAGGAGGTGGCCAGGGTGGTGGACTCGGCGGTGGACTCGGCGGCAGTGGCCTCGGTGGCCAGGCCGGTGGACTCGGCAGGGGTCTTGGTGGTGGATTCGGCGGCAGTGGCCTCCGTGGCCAGGCCGGTGGACTCGGCGGTGCACTTGGCGGCAGTGGTCTCGGTGGTGGGTTCGGCAGCAGTGGCCTCGGTGGCCAGGCCGGTGGACTCGGCAGCAATGGTTTTAGTGGTGGATTCGGAGGCAGTGTTTTCAGTGGACCAGGCCTTGGTTTTGGTGGACTTGGTGGAAGCTCAAGTAGTTTCGGCGGTTTTGGTAGTGGCTTTGGAACTTCGGAAGGCCAGGTGCAACAGCGACAACGCCTGTGAACACCGAAGCGTCCAAAAAATGGACGAACGCTGTCAATGTCTCGGTTGTAGTTCAATAAAGCAGCTTTTGCTACAAGCTGAGAGAGTCCCAAGGAGTGCATCTTGCAGCATGGTCCTCCGAACTGACTTCACTTGCTTACAACAAGCTCAACCAAAAAAACCGTTTTACGGTGTCTATAATTTGCCTGTCGGAAATAAAAGAGATCGTCATCATGAACCGGCATGCGCTCTATACATTCCCTTCGTAATATTTGCGTTCTTAAACTTTGCCATCACAACACGTGCGTCTATTTCAACAAGGTGGCTTGTAATAACCATGATAATCAAGAAAACGAGTTCGGAAGAACATACAGGAACAGAAAGAGCAAATGGCGAATTTATTTAAACATAGGGGGAAAATATGGCAAGAAAGCGCCCTTCGCTAGAAAGGATTCGAAACCACGTACTCACAATTCGGAGCGAGTGTCCTAACCACTTGGCTATAGAGGAAAGCTCTCAAAGCATAGCATAGCCTTGTACAGTATAGTGTAAAAAAGGGACTGGCCAAAGCAATGAGAGTGAGAACGAAAGATGTGTAGGTTAGTGGCGGGATAGAAGGTGGGACAGGGGCAGGTGCAGGAGAAAGCGATAAAGTAGCGCATAATGCGAAGAACAATGAGGAAGAGCTATGTAGAGAGTAAGAAATTAAGAAAGAGAGAGAGTGACTTATAGCAAGAAACAGAAAGAGAGGGTGAGAAACGCAACTGGAAGAAAGAAAGGAGGAAGTAAGAGAAATGTAGAAGGAGGGAGAAAAAGAGAAAGACAGATGGTATATGATGAAAGAAAAAGCGAAAACAACAAAGAGAAAACAAGTTCGAATAAGCAGGGGAAAGTAAACGGAAAAATATGAAAAAGGAAAAAAAAGACGTGTCTAAGTAAATAAAAAGAAAATTTCCAAAACCTAGCAAAACCACGAAACCCAGGCCTCCGTATGTGCCCCCTGAAGCTCTGCTGCCTTTTTAGTACTGTTCCTGTAGTCTAAATAAATAATTGGATGGATGAACAGAAACATGTGAAAGTGCATTTGTTAAGCAATGCAATGTTTGCCATTTAATAAAATGTTCTTCCCGGGGCTCGTGTTTCTGCCCGTGTCCCGCCATTTTAAAAGCGAGAGTTTTCATTAGCACGCGACGTGGCCATGCTTACCCGCCTTGAACTAAATAAACCCATGAATGCACTCTGGAAACGATGTCAAAACAACTGCGAAGAAGTGCAAACGCTGAGGACGCGTCATTAAAATACTCTTGTTCACAAACTAAAAGCGATCTACTGTGAAAATGCGAAAGGTCAACATCAGCAAATACAGATAACACAAAAATTCCGACTTTGAAAAAAAAAACAATTAAATTCATTGCGCTCGTTGCAATAATCACGTGATGGTCCTGCTGAAACGAAAATGCAAAGATCCTTTCACTTTTCATTCCGAAAACGAAGTGGCCATAGGAAACTAAACGCTTACATTAAAAGGAAGTAATGCACAAAGCAGATTAATAAAATAGATAACAGAAAAAAGTGAATGCGAAGGTCAGGCTCCTAAAAACCAAACTCCGCTAGCTCCGATTATTCCAATAGAAAAAGAGAACCAGTATTTTTTTAGTGTTACTAAGTTAACTACTTAGCACCATTGTTTTAATTTTTTCATGTTACAGCACAAGTGGTGATAGGTGGCTCTAGTAATTCATTCACTTACGGGAGATTACACGAAAACTGGCGACCAATGCCTCACAGGTCCTGCATCAAGTGTACGTGGCACTACCCGAGCTGTTTTCACACTGCATAAATTTCAACAACAACATTTCACAAAGAGAAAATAGCCAACCATCCGTTTGTGACATGAAGCCACAAGAAAACCCAGTACGGGTTTCCCAGAAAGAAAAGCTTGTTAGCTGCCGAAAAATACACTGGTTCGGGGCTCGACCCACGACCATTGCATTTACGAGGAGTTCGCTCTACCAATAGAGCTAACCAGGATACTAGCGATTGGCAGCGCGAGGGTGAGTAGAGTTTTTTCAAGAAATCTCACAACGCCCCGCGGGCGCGTGGATCACTATGGGAAAAGTTGGTACGCCCAGAGAACCGGTGTTTCCTCCGCCCGCTGCTCGTTACTGCCATGCGAGCACAAAACGACAGAAACATGCCGGCGCTTGTTGAATAGGGTCCGAATGCACTTGCATGTGTATCTACACATGAAATTTAAAATGAATAACGCAGTCACTGTAAGTGTCCTTCGACGGGTGTACGTGATGAGCGGCGTGCGAATTGTTGCGTACCGATATATGTGGTCGTGAGGAATTCGAGCTGGAACAATGAATTCATAGTTATTCAACGACGAACTGCTCATAATGAGCTGTGGTTTTTATTACCGTCCGAAGTTTGATTGGGTCAATGACATAAGGCTGCAGAAAAGTGTTGCAGCAATAGAATTTTTAATTTTTTATGGACAAATCACCCGCTGAAGAAAAAGTAAACACAATCTAAACGTGTTCAAGATGGATAGATGGAACTAAAACTCACGTGCGGCTTACCATGTTCTGATAATTTGCGTCTTCCTATAAGATCCTTAAGTGTCTGCGGGGCATGCTTGCTGGCGGCATATTCCGCATCGAGTGAGACCACTATTGAATTTCACATTGGCGCACTCAAATCTTGTTCAGTGAGAAATAATGATATCATACTTACGCTCAGCGAAGAAAAAACAAACAAACTTGGGCACATTACATGAGCAATAGATTGCATCTGCAAGAAGGCACGGTGTTTTGCCTTATCATATTACATCGGTTTGTGAACATCTCATTCGCATTGGAAAAAAATGAAATAATTCAGAAAATCTTCACCCGTAATTAAACTAGAAATGTTGCAGTTGATCCATGCATATCATTCGCAAACTCTGAAAGGAAGTGCACGCACCGCGGATGTTTACTACAATGGCAACGGCCTACTATCGCTATTCAGAGAGACGTGAACGGCGCGGAAAGCATGGCTTTCGACTCAGTCGTAGTGCAACGTGCCTTCACTGTCGTAAGGTGAATCTACGCTTTCAGCCGGCGTCACCATAGACCTGAAAAATCTTGCTCTGGCTGGCCCTTTCGCATCGCATGTGGGTTCCAAGCCAGGCGTGAATGGCAAAAGGCTAAGAGATTCGGTGCATGTGTGCAAGCTGGAGCGGGATTCTAGCGCTATGTTGGCGCTGGTTTGCGGCAATAATTCTGCCTTGCCACAGACAAGGAATGCCGCAGTTCGACTGAATCAACAGCAACGCTTTATGCCGCTCGCGTTTCTTTCTATCACGATAGTGCGTACCTGATCAAGTTGATTCCGCAGTCTGCAATGTTCAGCCGTCAGCAACCTCAACTCGAATGCTCTGATGTGTCGTCTCGGCTGGCTTGAACTGAGGTCAGTGCCACCAAGCGTTGGACATGATATTCTCGCTACAGTTAACAATAGAGGTAGCGTGCGTCGGTTTCACTAGTACATTTCTGTTTCTCGTCTGCCTGACCAGCGGGTGAAGACCATTAAGTTCGCATCCTGATTTCGTCATGTTTCACTCGTGGCTGCGTTATCACGCGCCCATGGCGTACGTTGTTTTATACTTATTTTGAGAATGAACCATTGCATGCGACAGCTTACGCGCCTTACGTGTTTGGATTTGCAACAAGACATCACATGTACAAAAAGCAGACCAAACGCATGTATGCTATCGACCTTTATGAGAGGGAACACGCGAACGCGTGGCCTGCGCTATGTGGCGGCTGCCTACAGCACCATCAACCAACAGCAAAAGCAAACACGTTCCCTTTCAGCGTCATCTGTGTCCAACAAAATAACGAAGTATGCCCGGTAGACAAGCGCTGCTAGATTGTACTCCCTCTCTGCTCACGCCTGCAGTGCGTAGTCCCCTGCCAACATATAGCAAACGTTGTTCGCGACCACGGCGCAAGCTGCAGTAATCGCCCGATATCGCTCGCCGCGCGAGCGATGAGGGAACGTAATCTGGCAGCGCTTGTCTACCGGCCATCACTTATTATCTTGCTTGGCCACAGATGACGCCAAATGCGAACATGCTTTTTTCACTAGTCGGTTGATGGTGCTGGAAGCAGCTGCCACAGAGCGCAGGCCACGCATTCACGTGTTTCCTTTCATAAAGAACGACAGTGTACAAGGTGTCTCTAAAAGTTGCATAGCAAATAAATCTCGAAAGCGGTGGCGTTATTTATATTCCAATTCAATAATTTTCAGACAGCGTCAACTGAACTGTTCTCGCAATATAGTGCGTGCCTTTCTGTTTGGTGCACGCAGCATGGAAGATGTCCTCTTGGAGCGCAATAAATGTGCATGTTCTCAGCAAAAAAAACAAACAAAAGAAACGCATGGATGGAACCCCTACAAAGCAATTTTCGTGCGCAGTTATCGCATAAGAGCTTCGCCTGCCATCTTATTCAAATCGGGGTTCTCGGACGATAAACACCAAAGATTACTACCAGCACAAATGTTGTGCTGCAAGGCCACATATTCAGTTGCAGCGTGAACCGAGCAGAAAGGCATGCTCTAAATTGCGAGAACAGTTCAATTCACGCTGTCTGAAAATTATTGAATTAGAACATGAACAACGCCACTGCATTTTACTTTTGTTGTGCAAGTTCATTGCTCTGCTATCATACATATGATTCCTTTTGAGCAGCAGCTGTGAATTCAAGTACGAAATGTGGGTAAGTTGTCGCCCGCAATGTCTTATTGTCGAGATAAGACAAAAAACCCCATGGGTGCGCGCGATGACGCAGCCACGAGCGAAACGTGACGAAAACGGAGTGTGAAGTGAATGGCCTTTACCCGCTCGTCAGGCAGACGAGAAACAGAAATGTACAAGTGAAAACGACGCGCGCAGCATCTGTTCTTAACTGCAGCAAGGATATCATTTTCAGCGCTTGGTGGCGCTGACCTCAGTTCAAGCGAATCGATGCCATGCGTCGGAGCGTTCGATTCATAGGTGCTTATGGCTGTACATGCTGTAGACATTCCGAACTGTCGAAGGAAGTATTCTCGCCGTTTCTCTCAAAAGCTAGGTTCACACGCGAGAGCTCAATCCCGTTGCTTCGCGGACCGAACAGTCACGTG